AACTAATGAAAATATTTCTTTTAATTAATTTATTGATAATTAATATTTTTTTTGCACTGAATAAAGACATTGTAAGGACAATGTAGCGAATATAATCAATTAATAAATTTGAATATAAAGAATTTTTATATTGAAGAAAAATAAAGACAATATAACTAATAAAATTATTTCTCTTATTTAATTTATTGATAATGAATAATTTTTTTTTTGAATAAAGGCATTATGGACACATAATTCTAAATTAAAGAAATGCATATGTATTATTTTTTGTTGTAAATACTAAATTATTATTTATATATAATTTAATAAGAGTAAAATAGAGTACTAATTATGCCAACTTTGATTGGGATGAGGTTCGAACCTAAGACTTTTTTTATTAAAATCAATGAGTAAGTTAACGATGAACTAACGGCAATTCTTAAAATTTTAACGGAATTAGTAACGGTGTGTGGGTATTTTAGAAAATTTTAGTGTAAAATTTAAATCTGATCAATCTTTTAATCAATATGAGCCATTCATTTGATTAAAATCTGTGACCGCCATTTTTTCTACCCATTATAGGCCTAACTCTCTTGGACTCTTATTAGTGTATATATATATATATATATATATATATATATATATATATATATATATATATATATATATATATATATATATATATATATATATATATATATATATATATATATATATGCATTGCATTTGCTTAATCCTTAAATTATTATTTAGCTAAAGTGTCATCCCGCACCATGAACCATATCTGATTATACATGTCGCACCATGATCTTTCATAACGTATATATATTTCGAACCATCAACCATTAATTTTTCTTCGCCTAATTTTTTTTTATAAATTACCTACAAGTTACATAATAAAATGCTGACATGGATTTTTTTTTTCTTTTCTCTTTTTTTTTTTTTTCTTTTTACTTCTAGCACCTTGATCAGTCGTTATATCGTAGACCGCGGTGCACATGCACCGCGGTAAAAAATGGCGCCGTTTCTTTAAGTAAAGAAACGGACCCCGTTATCGGTAACGGAATCCGCATGTTTGGTGTATTAAACACCAACTGACACTACAGTATATCTAAACCGACACTACCTCACGACAAATGAAACTGCAGTTATATCAAAATGATACTGTAGTTGTGATGAAATGAAACTGCAGTGTATATAAAATGAAACTGAATAATATTTCACATATTTGAGTGTATATTGTGCAATGAAGCTTTAATTATATCAAAATGATCATATAGTTGTGTTTTAATAAAACTATAGTGTATATAAAATAAAATTAAACAACATTTTAACATATTTGAGTCTATAAATATCGAATGAAATTGTAGTTATATCAAAATGAAACTATAATTGTGTTGAACTGAAATTGCAGTGTATACAAAATGAAACTGAATAACAAAGTCACTTTTTTGCGGAAGGGTGCGAAACAGCGGAAAACAAATGCCGTTTCTTTTCATTTAACAAAACGACGTCGTTTTGATGCGCGGTGCATAATCGATTATGCACCGTGGTGCACGATATAATTTGCGCACCTTGGTCATAGCTTTGTGTGTGGCGGAATTTCCTATGGAGACAGGAATAAATGAGGTTACCCATGAATATACGTTATGAAAGGTCGGGGTGTACACATTATGTGGCATGAATAATCATATATATATGGTTCATGGTGTGGGATGACAATTTAGCTTTATTATTTAAATAGTGGATTTTAACATTAATGTTAGGTTTTAATTACCTTCGTGGTTCTAGCTAGGGGCAGGGTCTTGTGGAAGAATGATTAGTTCGACGAACTTTGGAAAAATGACCAAGAATCGAGTCTCATCAGCGGCAGTGTGGGAGCAACCTCTCAAAGTGAGGGGGGTTCCTTGTGCACAGTGAGCACAGGTTGGGGGTTACATCAGTGTGGGAGCAACCTCTCAAAGTGAGGGGGGTTTCTTGTGCGCAGTGAGCACAAATCTAGCCTCTGTGGTTCATGTTCAGTTGAGTTACCATGATTTACATCCCCCCAAATGCTCTGTTGGGGGGACCTCTCAAAGTGAGGGGGGTTTCTTGTGCGCAGTAAGCACAAGTCTAGCCTCTGTGGTTCATGTTCAGTTGAGTTACCATGATTTACATCCCCCAAATGCTCTGTCGGGGGGACCTCTCAAAGTGAGGGGGGTTTCTTGTGCGCAGTGAGCACAAGTCTAGCCTCTGTGGTTCATGTTCAGTTGAGTTACCATGCTTTACATCCCCCCAAATGCTCTGTCGGGGGGTTGGGGTTCTTCCTTTGGAGTTACCATGATTTACATCCCCCAAATGCTCTGTCGAGGGGTTGGGGTTCTTCCTTTGGAAGAATGATTAGTTCTACGAAGTTGAGACCACAAAGTTTTAAAAAAAAAGTAGAACATAAAAATTAAATCAAAAACATGAATAACAATTAATTTTACACCATAGTTAAATCTAATCTAATAGATAAAAAGTAGTGTCATTTTCTTGTTATTAAATGCGCCTATCTTGTAGAGATAAGTACAATGAAGAAATGCAGAAACAGTAGCTATCCATTCAAGGACAAAAATTTATACTCTTCCACTCTGTTGATTGTTTTTTAGAATCGTCCTCTTCAGCTCTTCTAGTTGTTTGATGATTGTTATTGAGAAATGAGAAGTCATCTTCTTTCTTCTTCTTCTTCTTCTTCTTCTTCTTCTTCTTCTTCTTCTTTTTTTTTTTTTTTTTTTTTTTTTTTTTTTTTTTTTTTTTTTTTATAGAATAGTCATCTCTTTGTTTTTTCTTCTCCCAAATCTTTGTTTTTTTTGTTTTTTGTTTTTGTTTTTTTTTTTCTCGGTGAAATGAATGGCATCGGTTGGTGAAGAGTTGGGGGTGGCATGAATATTGGTTCAAAATAATTTTTAAATTATGTGTTTGCAGTTGAGTTAATTTGAAATTTTATATTTATAGTTAACAGTTTATGTACTTGTTAATAAATTAAATACATATAACATATTAATTACATGCATATAATATGTTAACTAGAGACGTACACATAATATATTGCAACATATTATATGTTTTATTGCATATAAACTGGTAACTGAACTCTGAAGGAACATAATAAGTCAATTACAAGCATATAACTTTTGAATATTATAATGATATATAAGAAATAATGCTTTTGCTCTCCTAATTGTTTTTTAGTTATAAATCTAATTCTCTCTTTCGATTTTTGTAGATGGATGTGGTCCTTTTTTAGTACTATCGACTCTATTACAATGCAGTATTTATTCATAATTACTCTCTCAATTTACTGAAGCAAAATATTATTTTGTTAGGCACCATGTAATTAAAAAAAAAAAATCATTTTGTCCGCGACATCAGCTTAACTGAACGCCAGGTCATCAAAACAAGATGAAACCTAGAAAAATGATAAATGTAAGAATTTTACAAAGTTTATATATCAAATTGGCTATTATTTTAAACCAAGGGGTTAATTGAGCACTTGTGAGTGATAGATGAGTCTATTTGTATATACAATTGCAGGGAAACTAGAGTGACCCAATCACTATTCATACTGCTCCCAAAGTAAAATATTTACAATTGAAACAATATATTAGTCTAATTGTTTTAGCATTAGTTTACTTAAATGAATACCTTTTTAATTAGCAGACTCCAATTACTTTATTTTTGCGTTAATACTTAAAATGTCATCGATTATAGTGATTTTTCTCACTTTCGTTCTAAACGATTTTGATGACATAATGTAGTCACAGACTTTTATGTTTTTACTCAATTTAGTCCCCTGTTTGTTATTCCATTCATCAGTTTTTTGTACTTTTGGTCCCACGACTATAGTGGCACTGGCAGAATTAATCTACGACTTTTGAACCTTGCAATTTTAGTCTACGACTATTGATTTTTTTGCAAAAATGGTCCTTCCGGCCATTTTTCCGTCAAAATTTTACCGAAAAAAAAAATTCTCTATTTTTAGCCGGGTTAAAATTGACATTTTTACTTATCTCAAAAAATTAAAAGAAAAAAATTGATATTTGACTACATACAATATTACTGGGCTATATACTACTACCCTAGGCGGCGGAGTTCCTGGAGCAAGCAGGGCTGTCAGTAAGCGGCGGAGCGGCCGTGGCGTTCCCCGGGCTAGTTGGGTTATCCGGCAGCAGCATTGGAGGCGGAGCCAGGCATTGGAGGCGGAGCCAGCACGTCTGCCAGATCATCCGAAGACATCGAAAAAGTAAAATGTCAATTTTAACCCGGCTAAAAATAAAGATTTTTTTTCCGGTGAAATTTTGACAGAAAAGTGGCCGGAAGGACCATTTTTGCAAAAAAATCAATAGTCGTGGACTAAAATTGCAAGGTTCAAAAGTCGTGAGTCAATTTTGCCAGTGCCACTATAGTCGTGGGATCAAAAGTGCAAAAAACTCTTCCATTCATTTTAGTGTAAAATAGATGGACAATTTAATAATTTCAATATTGACATCTCTTTCTTCTAGACCTGCGAAGTATGTAATCCTTCTTTCTTTTACGAATTACTTCCCGACTTGCAAATCAAATTTTATATTCACAGGTTTGGGAGTAATTCATAAAAGAAAGAAAGATTTCGCACTTCGCAGGTTTAGAAGAAAGAGATGTCAATATTGAAATTACTAAATTGTCTCTCTATTTAACACCAAATGGACGAAATAACAAACAAATGATTAAATGGAGCAAAAACACAAAAGTTGAAAATTATATTATGTCACCAAAACTGCTTAGGACAAAATTGAGAAAAATTACTATAGTTGATGATCATTTTGATATTAATTCCTCTATTTTTTGGTTACGAAAGAGGTGGTCACTCGAACTGCAATTACTTTTTTAATGCAGTTGATTTTTAATTTTTAACTAACTTTTTAATTAAGTATGCAAAATAGAGCAAACCGCAAATAAGAATGGTTTCTCCTGTATTCATCTTGTGACAACAATTAATATAATTATATTAAGCAAAACTCTTTATACTATCTCTCCTTTTTCTCTCTCTCTCTCACCAGAAATTTAGGAGAATTTTCTGGTTCTTGTCCTTCCTATGCAAATCCCAAATCCCAAGTTTTGTTTCTACGTGTGGTGAAAAAGACAATACCAAAGAATATATACACACACAAGAACAAGAAAAGTGAGAGGAGGCTCTCTTTAAAAGGGTTTCAAAACCAAAAAACAGTAGAGGTCTGTTGTTTTAGCCTTTTCCCCTTGTGTTTTCAATGCCAAATAATATTTCAGAAGGAGATGGCGGCGGCGCTGCCAGCTTCTCTTCTGAGAATAACGGCGAGGAAGAAGCTGCTTTGCAAACTTTGGACCAATTTGGATCCACTGATCCACACCAACTTGAACCTTCCATTTCTAAGAAGAGAAGAAAACTCCCTGGAAATCCTGGTAATTAATTCTTTATCTTTTACACTACCTATATTCTAATTTACAATCAGTGAGTGATAATAATTGATTAATAATGCTTTTAATGTTAGTAATAAGTTGTTTAAAATCTTTTTCTGCTTATATATATACATGTGAAGTGTTTGTATGATATAATATGTGGGTTTTTTCAGAAGATAAGCTCTTCAGTGATCTTTTCTTGAAGTTTTAGATTACCAATTGCATGAGTTTATAATAGGCCAATAATAAGAAAGACTGAAATGTCAATAACTTTTAGTGAAAATTTTAGAAGAAATAATAAATCTTAAATACGTGTATAGGGTTCAATTCCTATCTAGTCTAAATGTTGTTAGTTTATACTTTCTTTGTACTCTCATTGGACTTGATGCAGTGGGATGGAAATGATTGACCAGTCTAAGTTGTCTATAGCTGATTGGCTCAAGCCGCTTTTGATAAGAATTAAACTTGTAACATTGTGATTATTAAATCAACAATCTAATTAATCAGCTTGGGTTGGATTGCCCCTAGTAATTCTATTTTTGAAGATGGTCAAAAAGTGATTCAATTTATTACTTTCTTGTGATCTTATTGGACTTGATGCAGTGGGATAGAAATGATTGACCAATCTAAATTGTCTATAACTTATCGGTTCAAACTTCTGCTAAGAATCAAATTTGTAACCTTGTGATCAACAACTTAATCAATTTGACTTGGATTGCTCCTAATAATTCTATTTTTGAAGATGGTAAAAAAAATTCAATTCATATAAGTAATTAGGAAATAATGATAAGATGGGAGAGAGTCGATGCAGCATGTAATTGCTTATGTTTAATTGATGTTGTATATTTAATGTTGATTAGGTTTAAGAATAATGATAATAAATAAATAAATAAAAAAGATGAATAGTCAACCCAAAGGGATTAGAATACGAGGGTTGTTGAAGCATTCAATTATTGGTTGGGGGAGTTCAATCAATAATTGGAGAGATCTATTGCAGGCGAGCCGTGCAGGCCCTCATCACATCATTTTTCTTTTTTTCTTTTTTTCTTTTTTTTTTTTTAATTTGCTTTAAATTTTTAACTATTTAAGACAAGACATCTCCTATTCCTATTGCATGCTTGGAATCTCATGCCTGGATCTTTAAATAAATTCGTTTAATTGTATCTCTTTTTTTTTTTTTTTTTTTTTTTTATCAAAGGGGAGGGATACTCCGAGCTAATTGTATCTCATTAATTTTTAATGATAATGAATAAATAAATAATTACAATATCAATGAATAAGAAATTCATTTGTGATATGAGTCCATATATTACTATCATCTAACACATCATGTATATAGGTGTACAATGAATATAAGTTTGTATATATAATAATATATTGTACTTTGACTCTTTTCTAATCCTTCTCTCTTCTCTTGCCATTCGATCATGATCCCCGGTTGGTCATTTCTAAATAAAGTATTTTTTTTTTTTTTTTGTGAGGAGAAAAACTTACAATGTTCTATATATATTTTTTTGAAAGTTACATTAATGCTCTATATAAAAATATGTAAATCGCAAAGGGAATGTAAATTGCACTAGGAAGTGTTGGTCATAGGCAAGCAACAAATCTAGAAGAGGGGTGGGATGGGGTGGGGGAAGGTTTAATATATAGACTTTCTAAAACTTTTTAAATCGCAAAATACTATCAAGAGTTTTTGCAGTGGAAGGGTTAAGCTTGCTTAAATTTAATTTGTAGCATTTGCAAGAGTTAGAAAGTAGAGCGTGTGTGTTTGAGCTCAAGCAAGCATAAAATAAAGAGTATGGTAAGAGATAGAGAAATTGAGAATATATTTTTTTTATAATGGTTCGAGAACTCCCTACTCCACTTTTCTCCTTAACCCAAAGAGATTTCACTAGTATGATATGAATAAAAGTGAAAGTTTCGCCTTTCACAGTAGTTGTAAACTAATTAAGCCAACTAGGTTACTTGCAACCAAAAAAATAAAAAATAAAAAAAAAAACCCTAGCCTTATGATCATTCTTAAAATGACTTTCTTCACTAAACTGTGTGTTCTACACTGCATAATCTTCAACGTCAAAGAACGTCCACCAAATCACCTTGAGAGTAAATCTTTAATTAACTTGACCTTTGCAACGAAGAATTGTGTTTGTCTTTTGAAGACTACTAGACACATTATAGATGATTCTTTGAAGCTTTGGAGAGCTTAGAATGACTTTCAAATTGTTAGCTCTCAAAATATCTCAACACTTTCCATATTAGTCAACTTCTCCATCACTTCAGGATAAGCTCTATTTATAGGGCTAGGGGGCCAAAGTTCAAACAACTTTGAATTATGTTATTGGTGCCCCCAGAGACGGTAGGCGCCAAAAGTTACTAAACGTTGCCATCTATTAGAATCAAGCGCTTATCATCACGCTAAAAGTTATAGTTAGTAGCAAAAGAGTAACTTTATTTTCTTATACTTGTGTAGTAGCATCACTACTGGAAATTCTGAAATTTCCGACCACCTGAAAGTGATCTTAAATCAAGTTAAAAGTCTTGTTCCGACAACTTTTGATCTCCGGAAAAACCTTTATTGCTATTTCCGACCACTTTTTGGACTTTTTGGTATCAACTTAATTTAAGATCATTTTCAGGTGGTCGGAAATTTCAGAATTCCCAGTAGTGCATCACGTAACAATAATCCTCATGCAACACTAGATGTAAGCCTCAACTAACATGGTTTCAATGCCTCAATTGTACAACATGTTTTCAATGGGATTCAAACTTGTGAACTACTCTGATACCAATTGCCAAGATCAAGCGTTTACCACTATGTCAAAAGTTATAGCTAGTAGCGAATTTACAACTTTATTTCATTATAAATGCAAAGCAATCAATGCCATGTTTCGATGACAAGATGTTGGACTTTGCCTTCCAAACTACCACCCAACACCATCTCTTCTTTTTCCATTGCATGATTTTATCCTTTGGACTTCCCAAAATACCTTCTAAGTGAAATGATTGGTTTTAAATATTTGTACATAAAAGTAGGTCTGCAGCTTATTTGAATGTATCTTAATGTTAGGAGTCCTTAAGAATATAACGTGTCTAACAACTCTTTTTCACAAAGCACAAATTTTTATTCCTCGTACTGACATTATTTGTCAGCCGTACTATATATCCTCAGAAGATTTTGAAATTTTTTGCCTTGAGATGATTTGTTGTACCCTTACTAAGGTAGTTCTTATTCAAAGTGCTATCAGATGATAAAGCCGCATATACTGGAAGACCTTAGCTTAACTGTACTAATGAATGATAATGGTTTATCATATCGTGGATAGCTTTGCTAATCATGTCTGGTGAGAAAATTTGTCAACATATGATAGAACTATATAAGGTAATATTTGCCATATAACTTCTGTTAGTGAACGATTTTGTTGAACAATGATCAAAGTCCTATTTTGAGCTTTATAAGTAATCATATTACTGCAAAGATTTGGGGCTCTAAATTCCTAATCTTACAAGATTGAATAGCATCAAAATCTATACAATATAATTTCTTAAGTCTTAACCAATGCAATCATTATTTTGTTGAATGATTTTGTTGTTTATTTGGTGAAAATGCATATATGCAGATCCAAGCGCTGAAGTGATTGCCTTGTCACCAAAGACATTAATGGCGACGAACCGATTCGTTTGTGAAATATGCAACAAAGGTTTCCAGAGAGACCAAAACCTCCAACTCCACAGAAGAGGCCACAATCTTCCATGGAAGCTAAAGCAAAGAATGAGCTCCTCAGAGATGAAGAAGAAGGTGTACATTTGCCCCGAGGCTTCATGCATCCACCATAACCCAGCCCGAGCTCTAGGAGATCTTACAGGGATCAAGAAACACTACTCCAGAAAACATGGCGAGAAGAGATGGAAATGTGACAAGTGCTCTAAGAAATATGCTGTTCAATCTGACTGGAAAGCGCATGCAAAGGTTTGTGGTACCAAGGAGTACACATGTGACTGTGGCACCATCTTCTCCAGGTAATAATCAATTAATTATATATGTGCATGCTATATATGCCCCATCTCACTTAACACCAACCAATTACATACCCTTATATTATACATTCGTCCAAAAGGCTGAACCCCAATCAACCCTAAGACCGCCCACACCCCGACCCGACAGAGCATTTGGGAGGATACCCTTATATTATACATGAACTAATTACTGGTTGTACGTTCATGTGGATCTTCAATTCAGTTGGGTGGAGGCTGGTGTAAGGCCAAGTCCAGCATCAGGTAGATAGGAGATTATTGTTGGGCATAGACCTCCAAATCTAGCTAGTACCATGTATCTTGAAAATGTGCGGCATAAGGAAACAAAGTTGTCTTTTATTATCATTATTATTAGCTATAACTTTTGGCATAATGGTAAGATCATTATTCTATGGACCATGGTTCATATAACTATGTGGACCACAAATAAAAAGTACATTATTTATGTACATAAAGTACATTATTTGAAAGTATATTATTTGAATATTGAAAGTACATTATTTTGTATATTATCAAATAATGTACATTCAGTACACATAATATACTTTTAGTATATTAAAAATGTACATTGAATTCATAGAAAGTACATTATTTGAGTACTGAAAGTATATTATTTTATATATTATCAAATAATGTACATTTAGTACACAAATAATGTACTTTTAATATATTAAAAATGTACATTGTATTCATGAAAAAAATACATTATTTTGTATATTTCAAATCATGTACCTTCAGGCTTCAGTACACAAATAATATACTTTTAGTGTATTAAAAATGTATCTTGTATTCATGGTCCATAGACAAATTAAATTTGTCCATTGTGGTAAGGGCCTGATCTAACAAGTACATAGTATCAGGGCTAAGTCAGGAGAGCAATTCTCACCGTCCCTCGAAAATGTGACAGCCCAGTATAAAGAAATAAAATTGAGCCCTTCATTGCTAGCCCTATAGCTTTTGATATAGTGATAAGGCAATTTATATCGTGCACCAGGGCGCGCATTGCATTGTGCGCTCTGATGCAAAACGGCGTCGTTTTACGTAACTGTATAAAAGAATACACATAATTGTATAAACAAACACATATAACTGTATAAAAAAATACACATAATTGTATAAACAAATACACATAATGATATAAACAAATACACATAATCACGTCAACTCCCTTCCGCGCATCCTAAACGTCGGTTTGGGAGCCGCAGGACGCACAGTGCTGCACGCGCCGTGGTGCAGGGTATAATGATAAGCGCTTGATAATTGACAAATTTTATTGTTGTGTTTTGTGCAGAAGAGATAGTTTCGTGACTCATAGAGCATTTTGTGACGCCTTAGCTGAAGAAAACACCAAAGTCTTGAACACACATGGCTTGCAAGACGCCTCTGATCTCAACCCATCATCTCCTACCAACTTACCTGAAATCATCCAATCCGACATGATGAAAACCCCATCCCGCGACTTTTTGCCGGCACCGCCGCCGCCCAAGCCCTTAAACATGGCTCCAAGCATGTTTTCCGGCAGCTCTCCGACCACCCTCTTTTCTCCCCCGAAAATCATGCCAGCAGCTTCGTCCTCTTTTCTACCCAACATGTCTGCCACAGCCTTGTTACAGAAAGCCGCTCAAATCGGTGCGACCACAAGTACTAATAACATTGTGTGCTCTCCAATGGTACAAAGAGGCTTTGGTTCTTCCATGGAGCCATCGCTTATTAACGACGGAATTCAAGTACAAACCGATAAGTCTCAGCTAGCCGGCGTTATTAGTGGGTTTTACTATCATCAAAATCAGAATTTGAGTTCAGGTCTGGATTTACAAAAGGTGGCAGGGAATAAGGAGATGATGAGAAGGGATGAGAATTTAACAGTAGACTTTTTGGGGGTGGGAGGTAGGAACTTTCATGAGCTCCAACACCAAGAAATGGGACTTGAAAATGAAGCAGTTATTAGTCAGCAGAGGATGCAAGGTTTGAGTGCTGTGTGGGATGTTAGAGAAGTTTAATCTGCAAGGGGGTTTTGATGTGTGTTGCAAGGCTAATTTCTTTGGATTTTTTCCATGTATATTTTTAATAATTTGATTATGTATACAATTGCAAGTTCAACATTTGGTCGATGATGTAAATGTGTATGCTTTATTTCCACCAACAACTAGCTGAACACAAAGATATATATAGAAATAGGCCGGATTTTGATGATTTGTTAAAGGTTAGTAAAAGTCTAGAACAGGTGAATAGACTTTTTAAAGGTTTTTAAAAATAAGAATAATTTTGTACTTGAAAACTTAAAAGATCGACTAAGTTAATTGTTCAACGTAATAGATGATGTAAGTTTAATTGTACATGTTTCTCTTGTTAGTTTGAATCTATTTGGGGGCTTTAGTTCATTAAAGTGTTACTTTAAGTGCATATTCCTTTGTTTTCTCACGAAGATATGGTTTTATACATGTTTTGAATGTTTTACGGTATTTGTTAGTGTTTTGGAACTATTCTAGGTCAATTGCAAAGGCAAGGGGAAGTTCTAGGACAAGTTTGGAGTCAAAATGGATGGAAGGATGTCGAAACAGAGGATTCGACACGTCGAGTTCCCAACTCGACGCGTCCAATATTTCCAGTAGCAAAGTGGTTCGAGATCAGTAGAGGTTTAGTAACATCCATATTCCATACAAGATCTCTCTCTGATAAAAGCATTCCATGATCCATCAAATTTTGAGATGTCAGCTTTCACATAAGAACCTAAATGATTCCCTATAACCTAGCCTCAACAATCTTCATAGTGAGGCATTGTGGGATTTTGTGGACTTGTACCCAGAACTCTGCCCTCTGTAGGGGTGCGTCAAAAGGAGATTCATTGGGGCCTAGACGGTGAAGAACCATGAGATTTTGTTCAAAGGCCCATGGGTCATCGTCAAGTATTCTCTACAAATCTTTCTCATGGAAGAAAATGAACTAGTAAAGATTAGTCGCTACCTCCTTCACCATAATTCCTCTCCCCGGTCTCCAGATGGTGTCCATGGTTTCCTTCATAAAGGTAAACTTTATCTTCTTCTCGGTTAGGAGAGTCCCCACTAGGCTAAATGCAGCTTTGTCCGTAATAGCGTTTCTCTCTTCTTCTCCTCGGGAAACCCCAACTTCATCAACATCATATCGTGGATGTTCAGAGCCCCATACTTTTCCTCAATGGACTCCTTTCCCCGGCTACTAGACACCATTACAGGAGGACACCAACACGTACGCACGTTACAGTGGTATGCAAGAGGGAGATTGTTGGTGAGTGTGGGTTTGCAATAATGAGAGAACTCCACGAAAAGGTGTCATTAAAACGGGTTAAACACAAGCCAGAGGTAGGTGAACAATAAAGAGTGTACTGAAGGCTAGCATGGAAGAAATCATACCGGATTAAATGCTGGAGAAAAGAAGATCTTGTTAGAAACAACAAGGTGGAGGAGCTTGTCAACCAAGACAATAGAGAAATTGTCAACTATAATAAACTCACAATTTTTGAATTTTTAATGGTCCAATGATCCAATTGTCAACCAGGACAGATAACTTCCTTTTGAAGTGCAAATTACTAGCATTATAGGAGCATGCATGATCAGAAATCAAGTGAGAAACTTTCCTTCTAAAGTGAAAGATATAACAATATAAATATATATGATATAAAACATTTATGTATCACTTTAAAAATATCATAAGCAAGTGTATGAGGAACTTTATTAAGCAAATTTTAATCACGCATTGTGCAATATTACTAGTATTTGTCATAAGTTGAAACAAAAGTTGCGAAAGAAAATTGATGGGAAATTCCAGAATTACAGGGTAAATTCGGAAATCACATTAGGATCGAGAAGATCGAATTAGCAATACGTTACTCTTAGAACCAAAATTTTCAACAGTTATTAGGAAAGGTATAACTACTAATGCAAATGGTACAGCACCATTTTTGTTTCCAATATATAGCTCCAGTCCTTCAAAGAAATCAACACCTCTACCTGAGATTTTCGAGCACTGATCTCACCAACACGGACATACTATACTGTCTTGAAGCGCAGAGAGAGAGAGAGAAGATAGTGATCAATGGCAGCAATAGCGAGGGTAAGTTCTGGCCTCGCGTACCCGGACCGGTTCTATGCGGCGGCAGCTTACGTAGGTTTCGATGGATCTGCCGATTCCGGTAAAGCCGTCACCTCCAAGTTCTCAAATGACGCCGCTCTCTTGCTCTACGCACTCTATCAGCAGGTGCTTCCCTTACTTCCACGTTTTTTTTTTTTTTTTTGCTTCTATTATGCATTTTTTCCCTCTTTATGCTTCTGAGTTATTGAATTTAAGTGTCGTTTTGTTGATTGACACCGTGATCTAACATTGCATTGTGTGAATTACGGCTTATTTTACCAAATCGACACTGATTTAAGAGATTTGTATTGAGATGTGTGATTGGTGCATTCAATTTTACTGTCATTTGCATAGATCTAGTTTCACAGTTGCTTTTCTTTTCCCATCTGTGCTAGAAAAAGGGAGAGGGTAAAAATCCTTTATCATAGTAACTGAAAACGAGGACTTCCATCACTGTTGGAGCCATCGACCCAGAAATACCATTGAGTGGGGTCAAAAGTTTAAAACAATTCAAAACACTATAAAGACAATACTCATTAAAAAAATATGAAACAACATTAATGGGACAAAACGGATTGAATACGAAATATTATAAATTAAAATACAGACTAAGTTTACCAAGCAACTTGTGGTGGTTGCCAATGCGATTTCAAGGTTACAAGGGAAGGAGGATCTGCCTCTTGTATGTGCGCAGCAAGTTAGTGAGCTTTTGGGTCACAAGGGCACAAATCACAAATACAATTATATAATTAGGAAGGAAGCCCACAAATTAATTGTTGCAAATATCATAATCAATCTTGTAGTATTAGGAATAAATCTCACAAATTAATTGCTACAATCAGTTGCAATTTGCTGAAGGGCTAAAGCTGTATGGAGTGATGGGCCACAAGGGGCCACTGCCCCACTTTGGATCCGCCAGTGCTTCCATCAAAATATTATACGTCTGTGATAAAGAAAGAATGCAGATAATGACAATGACTTGTAGCCCCACACTGCATTAAAGTAGTTTATGATTTCTAAATATAATGGAAACATATTCTAGGTACTTAGTCTTGAATTAGTGCAGTTTAGTTCTAGTTTATTATTCTAGTTTTGCAAAACATTCTGTTGAATTTGTTGGCACTTGGCAGAACTTTCAGGTGAATCATTTACTAAACTATTTATGATTTATTGTAGGTTGGGTAAAGAATTAAGATTTAATGTTTTAGCAATATTTCTGGGGTCAAAGTGGGCGAATCCGTAAATATGGTCCTTAATACATTATTTTTGCATAATGCTCTACTATTAACAATACCAATGTTCAAAATGCAAAGTAAACATAAAACAAATGAGTATGGATTTGAATGAAATGCAACACCCTTACCAAGCTAGAAAGGTTAGATTGTGGATCACTGCTTGCCAAACATGGTTGAATGTGTTTTTTCTAGTTCCCATGTGTTTTATGCAGCAGGAAATGTATTCCACTGGTATCCTATGAGTACCTTTGTTTGAGACTAATATTCCATTATATAGAAGTCTCTGTTCTTCATAGATCCGGTTTTCAGAAATGGGATAGGATGAGTCTCAGGGTTGTTATATATAATTTGACGGTCTTCAACCATGCTAATGAAGTAATGAGCCTAATGGAACAGGTTACATTATTAGAAGTTGTTTGATAAATCAGGCTTTTATATTTGTCCAATGATTATCTCTTGATGTCCACTTTAAATCCAGTAAATGAGTAGGTTAACCTTTAGTCACAATTTGTAAATAGGCCTAAGAATGGGAAATCTCAAAGTAATGTTCCTATAATGCATCCAACAAGTCACTTTCTGAGCGCTATTAAAAAGAAGGAGTTTCTTTTAGCATAGAACATGAGAAATGCTTACTATAGGGTTCTTGTTTTTGTTTATTTAGTCAGTGATATTTGGATTAGAGCTAATGCTTTTTATTTCAATTTTGTATGTTCACTGGTTTGCAGGCAACCATTGGACCTTGTAAGATTCCTAAGCCTAGAGCTTGGAGTCCAGTGGAACAAAGCAAATGGACAAGGTTGGTGTCACTAACTATTTTTTGGATATGATTTGTTACGCAGTTCAACGTCTTAGGTATTTCTTCTTGATGCAGTCCTTATTAAATACTGTGCTTGAGATTTGTTTCCAGTGGTTTACTTGGGGTTTTCCATTTATCATTTTGGAAGTATAGAGAAAACTTACATGCCATTTAATTACATTGAATAATAGACTTACATATAGATTTTATGTTAGAAAATGGTCCGTTTTTGCAATTCTACTCACCTACCATATGTACATAGAAATGTATCACACAATTTTAGGTTCCTAGTACTTGAAATAACATCTTTGGAGTATAGCCAAGCAGAACTTGACTTTAAACTGTTTCCTAGAGGTTATTATGTAGTTTTCTTATAGTAATTTTTAAAGTCAGTATCTTAAGGGGTTGTTTGGTTCACGGAATGTGAGACTACCTTAGGTAATATGATTACCTCTTGAAAAGTAATGTTAGATTTTGGGAATGTAAGATTACCTTGTATGTTTGGTTTGGATTGTGGGAATACAATATTACCTTGTTTGGTTAAAGGTGATATTTTTTATTATTTGGATCAATTTACTATAATGTCCTCAATATATATACATGTGTGTGTGTGGTGTACATTTATTTATTTATTTATATGTATATAACCTATAAATGTGTGTATAATTATACATAAATGAATGTATATTAATGCGCATATATATATATATATATATATATATATATATATATATATAATCAAATGAGACAACATCTTCCCGTGAGACTGTGAGACACAACATGAATGTATAGTCTACTACAGGGGAATGCACACAGACTAGAGTGTGTGCAATTTGCCCAACATGAGTGTACACAATCTAGTGTATGTGACTATGTGCATCCTGTAGTAGACTACACACACACACACATGTATGTATATTTTATTACATAAACATATATTTATTTTTTATATGTTGTTATTATTATTATTATTACTCCCTCTGTCCCATTTTGTATGTCTTACTT